GACGCGTTTCAGAAAGGCGGGGCATAGAGGAGAAACAATAATGTACAGTATGTAGAAAATAATGTTTTTTGAACCTTAAACCGCATAAACACATTTCATTACACCAAATACACAAAATAATGTTCTTTTTAGCAACATCATATGACCCTTTTAAAAAAAAGAGACACAGGTGCATATGAATCGCATTGTCACAATGGCACGTGAACATATAAAGGTTGACACATATTCCTTATAGTGTTTTGGATGTTTTATGACCATAAAAACCTACAAAGCTCCAGCTGTCAGCTGTAGCAGTTTTTGATACAGGTACTGTTGCCATGGCAGCCAGAAAACCCTGCAGTGAGAGCAGAACAACAGCCTTTCATTTCTGTTCTAACAGAAATAACTGGAGTTTGAGCAAAATGTGAATGGTGAATGAATGGTGCTGCCTCTGAAAAACTCGCCGCATGGTTGCTGTGGATGGGGGCCAGGCAAGACTCGGAGTCCATTCCACTCAACGGACATAATTGCCCATTACTTCACTTTTACATATCCCAGAAGAACTTTAACAATATGTTGTGACAATTTTGATTCATCCCAGGGACTCGAATCTTTTGACTCTGTGGAAGAATTTCAATAGGTTACACAATTAAACCAGCAGGTGGCGAACAGTGAACGTCTTATGTTATGACTGTAGAGCCTTTCATGTCCCAAATGGCACCCTAAACCCTCACGGTCTTCCTCTGAGTCCGCACATTCTTGACGTAATGCCGCTTTGGCCCTGTCCAAAATGGCACCCTAAACCCTCACGGTCTTCCTCTGAGTCCGACTTTCGTGACGTAATGCCGCTTTGACTGTCGGGTAGAAGTCTGCTGCGGAGCTCGCCCCAGTGCGGGCTCGGCAGAAGTGCGCATAGAGGGGCCGCACGTTAATATACTGCATCTGTGCCAGCGCGTGATGTAATAAAACTGCAGCTCGTTAATAAACTTTTTTTTTTTGTGTGTGTGTTTTCCTTTGAAAAATTTTCCCCAGAAATACCTCGCTATTTAATGCATTTTTCCTTGCAAATTGTATTATCAGCATAACAATTCGAGTAAATGTGTAAAAGGTATGGCATGAATTTGCCATCCTTCTAGAACAATGTGCATTTATGTTAAAATTGTAACATAAATTATCAAGTTTAGTTATTTTTATTTTTTTATTGCAAAACGCTAAAACTGGCACCGTTTTGGAGAGAAATGGGCTCTCATTTTAACCCATATCATGGTGTGTGATGCTGAACTATGAGTTTCTAATGGTGTTTGTATTTGCACTGTTCTAAACATTAATATTTTATGTGCAACAACAGCATGTGCTGTCTCAGTGGCCTTACACATGATTTTAAATCTATTTTTTCAAACTTTATGATTTAAATGGGGATGATTGTACTGAGAATAACTTTCATCTTTTCTTCAACTGAATACTGTTTCTGTGCTGTTTTGATGTATTTTAAAGATTTGGCAGTCAAAATTAAAACTGCTGGATGATAGATATTCTTCATTCTTTATGACAAACAAGATAATGTGAATTAATTAATGTACAACGTTTTTAAAATGTATAAATTGTGGTGTACAGCATTTATTATGAGGGGGTAGAATCCACAGCTCAGTACTCACTACTCAATACTCATGAGTACTTTTAAATAGGCTACTCTTTTACTCTTACTCAAGTAGTTTTTTTGGACAAGTACTTTTACTCTACTCACACTACAGTTTTTGGAAGGTAATGGTACTTTTACTTGAGTATATTTTTTCAGTACTCTTTCCACCACTGCTGAACGGACACGTGCACGCGGCGGCCATTGTAAGTCCGCAAGTCCAAAAGTGCACATGAAGTGTTCCATTTGGGACAGGTCATTCTCAATCGAAACAAATAAAGCAATAAACAGTAAATTATACAGTTCATGAGTATCACAGTAATCATCTGCATAGTTTATTCGTACCGCGGTGCATTGTTGGGAACTCGAGTAAATCACAGTTTTCCTAAGCTTGCTCAAAAACGATCAAATTAATCACAAAAAGGCGTTTTACTTTGTGAGTATCTCTGGTGTGCCCACTGTTTATTATTTAAAACACTTTTACACGATTTCCACAAGAGTTATGAGGACAATAAGACAGTCGACGCCACTTTAACAAGCAACAGAGTGATGAGCATTTTTTCTGTCTAAATCTGTTCTTTAAGAGGTATATGCATATAATTAATTAATAATATGTAATATTAATTATATTACGAATTTATGTTAATATTAATTATATGATATTATAATATGTTTATTTTTTATGTATTTATATACAGGCTCAATGTAAAGGATTTTTAATAAATTATACATTTATATTTTATTTTACTAAGTCTCTAGCGAAAAAAAAACCCCACTAATAGTTTACTTTATCCATCAAAATCAGTGTAAGGGTAAATACATGCTTCAACCTGTTTCTCATCGGGAAATGTCCATTCTCCCACCTGTGCTGGATTTACTGACTTGGCTTTGCTGGTGTAATGTAATGGCTGGATCAAAGGTTTGTAGAGGGAAGTGAATCTCTGGCAAGGGATCTATAACATTCTCCAGCCTGATATGAGCATTCCTCCTGTGTGAAATCATCTGGCCAGCTATCAGATCTTGCCTATTCTTGATTAGAGAGTAAGAGGCCTGCCCATGAGACTTTTAAACTGTTTAAACATGTTTATTTATTCAGTATTAATATCCAATCATCTTTAAATCCACATGTTATATCAGCTGTTTTGTTTCAACAGTTTAAAAATGTCACAGACTCTTGCATTATCATGCATTATATATATTTTATTAAAGATTAAAAAGTGGGCTACTTGCATTTAATTGCAAAAAAAAAAGAGTAAATAAACGGAAAGGTAAGGTTATAGTTCTCAGTAAAATAAAAACGAAATAACAAAATGTATCTTATGTTAACAATAATTGTTTTTAATATCATCAATTAAAACATTAAATATTTCTATTTAGGGAGGCAGGGGGGTTGTTACAATCCTAGTGAATTTCTTATTTATAAATCTAAATATTCTCTTATACAGATAGGGCTGATATCTTGATGTGTATCTGTAGTGAGCGCCAGCCACCAGCAGATGACAGGAAAACTCAACTGATCTTCAGCACCCATCGAATTGTGAGGAGCAGAACTAAAATGCTAATGCAGAAAATATACATATGAATGTACTAATTTATGAATGTATTTCTTGAAATACCTGTACATTTGTATATGTTTAATTTATAAAACACGTCAATTTTGCTGTCTGCTTGAATCCATCATTCCTTATACCTCTAATTTGCCTCTTTATCTTCTGTTTTCAATTTTTTCCTTTCCATGGCAGATCTAGCACCCATGCACCTGTTCAGCAGCAACAGTACGACCTCATGTTCCATCTAAACTGGTTAGGAGGCTCCTGACTGTCCTCTAACCAGACACACAGCAAGAGAAAAAAAAAATAAACGGCATAATAAAGAAGGTGAGAGAAAAAAGGAAAAGCAGGAGGCCGAGGCCAGCCCAAGAGGTCAAGGTTTGTGTGGTCGGCATGTCCTGTTAGCCCCTGCTGGTAGATGTTGTAACTACATGCTCTGCAAAAAAATTTAAAAAATAATATTAATAACAATAAACCATTTTTTAAGGCAATTCAAAAGTAGCTGTGTATTCTGGCTAGATATATTCTGTATGTTTGTTTTTGCAAGCAACATACACTATGTAGCACTAATATTTTCTTACAGTATATTAGTACACTTATTTTAACAAAAATACATTAAAAACTGTAATTTTGTGAGATATTATTACAATTTCAAATAGATATTTTCAATTTTAATATATTTTAAAATGAAATGTATTCCTGTGATGCAAAGCTGAATCTTTAGCAGACATTATTCAAGTCTTCAGTGTCACATGATCCTTCACAAAAATTACTCTAATATGATCAGTGTTCTAATGTTGTGTGGCTTAATATATTTTGGAAACTAAAAGCCTGTTCACACCAAGGACTATAACTATAAAGATAACGATAAAGATATAGTTCTAAAAATCGTTCTCAATATTAAAGAATAGCAGAGTCCACACCACAGCTAAAACCATAAAGGCACAGAGAAACGATATCGTTGGAATCACTTTCAGAATAATTTTCACCAGTGACTATCCATTTGAACATTGAAGTTCCGTCAAAAAACGTGATTTAATGCTGTAATAATAAAGGTTAGTAGTTAATAACCAGGGACAGAATGATTGTTCAAGCTAGTGTGCTACTTTGATAAATCAAAATCCACTTTCATCCTCATAAACTGAATGGAAATGTATGTCTAGCCATCGCTCTCTAAATGTCAGCACGGTGCTTGGGAGAACATTGTGGCAATTAGCTTCACGGCTCACCACACTGCTAATCGTGCAATGCCGCGTGTGAAAAAGCGCCATGTGTCATTTGTCAGAAATGAGGCCAACTCTTCATGATGTGTGTGTATATTTATGTGAGTATACAGGTGTGAAGGTGAGTCTAGGGCTTAACGGTTTTCTAGATCAAATCAGCAAGTGTGACAAAAATAAATGTAATTGAATCTGACAATCTTGGGAAAAACACCCTTTTCTTACGTTATTGTCATGTAAACGTACCCTGAGTCTAACATTGTTGACATAAAGTAACAGTAAATTTAATATGGATAGAAGTCATAATTTGGTCTTGGAAGAATTTGATGCAAAAGTTCGTACTGAGACTTCAGCAAATCTGAGCACAGTTTGTGACATTGTTGAGATCTTTAGAGGAGACACATGTGAGATTACTGGAGTCTTTCTCTGGTTTGTGCAGCGCAGATTTAGGCTTGATAGCTGTGGTCACAGTTAAATGAACGATCATCAGGTTCTCTTCAGACCCCCTAGTCAGTGTAAACATTCCTCCTCCATTGTACAAGTCCATATCTCAGCTCTTCGGATATCAGTTTGTGTTTCAGTCACAGAACACCCACAGAGATGAGGCTGAGCAAATGCATCTGTTTCTAACGATTCGATTGTAGGCTGCTAACAAACAACTTTACCTCCCATGAGAATCACACCTAAAACCTTCAGTATCTGCTCTGAAAGCAAATCTATCCACAGTATTCATAGATGAGAAGAGCTTTTGTGGAGGTTATTAAAATAAAGCAAAAAATAAAAAAAGTTCACATAAATTTACATAATTATACTTAATTGCATAATTAATTAAATTCAGAGTCAGTTCAAGGTTGCATAAAATCAGCAACAATGCAGGAACAGGAATAATCCAGAAACAACCGAATACAAATCCAGGTCAGGAGTTACTAATGTTTCTGACGTTTAAACCTTTGCTAAAACAGAAAGAACAAGAAAGGATCTGATCGATTTGGATATTTAACATGTTCTAATCATAAATCTCTGCACCAAAAATAAACTTGCTAAAACACTTGTTCTTAAGTTGTAATGGTCCAGTGTTGGATTTTATTGCAGTGCATTTCAATGCTATTTGCACTGTTGTTAAATAGATATGTATTATCCAATCTTCCTCAAGCACTTACATGCTGTTTTATGTATTCCTTTCAGGATCCAGAAATAATGAAGACTCTTTTGGAAGTCCACTGTCATGACAACAATCAAGTTACTGTTTGAAGCAGTGAAGGTAAAGCTGGCAAAATATCACTCACAGAAATAATTAACATTTCATATCTCATCATATGTGACCCAGTTTGTGGGCTGCAGTAAGTGTGTTTAGTCTAAAAAACAGTACATCTGAACAAGATCCTTTCCTGGCTGTATAAGCTTATTTTATATGACAGCAGTGTCCTTTTGAGAAACATTTCATTATTGTTTAATGTAGATCAGAATGGACAGTATTTTCTTCCACAATGCTTACCAGTTCTGCAGTAAAAATGTTTATTATTGAATTATTGTTTCATTTCACAAAATATTTCAAATTCAACATGAAATCAAAATCATTCCTATTTATGTAATTAATAACATTTCTTGGTCTTACTGTGCATGATTCATTAAAAAAGACAAATGGGCTGGGAATGTCATTTTATGTAGACTTAAATTACACAATCATTTAAATATCAGGCTCTTGAATTTTCCAAATATACTTGACTCTTATTTCCAGTAATGGAACGCATTCCATTGGCTTGCATTACAAAAAAACACTTGAATGGTGTTTGAAAACCCTGTCGCGTCCTCCTCTGCATTAAGCCAGTGAGCTTTTTATTAATAAAACGCCAGCTTTCATGTGGCACATCAGGGGCTGTTCATGAAATATTCAGTGGTGTTTAGGATGACATGATCCACAGCAAAAATCTCATGAATCTGCCAGCAGCCCTTGTTTAAAGTTTGAAAAACCAGTTACAGTGTTTTCATCAGTATGCTGAAATATGAGAATTAATATACAATGATCAATTACAAAAAAATACAGGCACATAAAGTATATATTAGTAAAATAACAATTTAATATTATTGTATTTAAAATTACTGTGTTGTATACAATTATTTAGTTTTATGATGTTAGCATTAATATTCGGTGATCAGTTTCATCTGATCAAAATATACAAACATATTTGATAATATGTACATATTTGATTTTATATATATATATATATATATAATTTCTTTATAAATTCTTAGTAAATTTAAGATTTACAAAAAATGTTTTATGAAAAGAATATCAGATTTTCCATCACAAGATGTTTTTAATGTCTTATGTTATGAATTCTAAACATGCCACAAGTGTTGTCAGTTCAGTCCATTGTAAAGAACTGTGATATCAATAAGGACAGTTGAATTGTATGGAGGTGGTAGAGGTGAAGGCCATTTGAAGAGCTGGCTCTCTATCAAATGAATGGGAAAAGTTCCCTTACCTCTCTAAAGCTGAATTTGTTTGTTGTGTAGCTCAGCTGAATGTGTTGAAAGGCTGTACTTCCCTGAGGATGGAAATGAAAAGACATCTTCACTATCATGCATACTAACTATAGTCCATCAGCTAGAGTGTGAATTGCACACGGTCTTTAGGAATGAAGAAAATGCAAATGAAAGTCACTTGAAGCCTTTGTACCTCTATTCAAGGTTTTTGTTTTCTTTGCACAAGAGACGCCGACAAGTCACTGCGCAGTGTCTCTGTAGAGTGCACCAGGCCCAGAATTTGAGACAACATCACTGACTTTAGGTTTGAGATCATTGTGTTGTATGTCCCAATTGTAAGTCGCTTTGGATAAAAGCGTCTGCAAAATGACTAAATGTAAATGTAAATGTATGTAACATTTGCTACACCCTTTTGTCTTGTTACCATAGCAACACTGGCAGTTAAAGCTGCGACTTTAGGTGTTTTTGGTCTGTTTTTCAAAAACAAAAAACAAATCTGTTACAATTTTAAATTAATTATGTTCCAAAAATTTTAATGGCTTTTTTTGTAACAAAATCTAAAAAAAAATGTCAAAAAATGTCAAACTGTTTCACAAGGTTTCGAGCACTTTTGAGGAAAAATTAATTACTACTACTGGCCAAATTAGGTTACTATGATCAAATCAAATATTTGTTTATTTTTAATTATATTTATTTAAAGATATTTACATTGCACTTGATAGTAGGTAAACACATTTACCTTTGTACTGCGAAATTCTGCAAGCGAAATAGGAAATCTATGCGATCTGGAGTTTTGCCACATGGCTTTCACATTGGATTCCAGTTTGTTAAATTCTGAACATGCGATGGGCCATTATGAAGTAGTTTGGAAGAGTGACCTCTTACTATCGCTACACTATTGATAATGGGCAGTGGACTTTTGTCTGTGAAGGTTTTGCTCATGTTACCAGCACTTAAAGAATAACTTGTTTTCTGTCAGTTAGTCCTCAAATCTGAATGTTGCTGGACATTTGCAATGGGCCATTAGTAAAAGCTGTTGGACACAGACTGCAGCAAATATTGGAAGCATCTTTAATGCTGCAATCAATTGCATTCAACATTGTATACTGATCCATGCATACCCACAGGTCATTTATCACCCAAAGTGTGAAGAAACCATGTGTAAGTGCCTGGCCTGAACCCCTAATGCATTTCAAATTGGACAAACCACTGGCTGTCATAATCAAGCCTTTATTTCATTTCCCAGCTGCCCCTGTGCCATTGCTGCCCATATCCTATAGAACATGACTTGAAGTTTTGACCTTTCAGTGCTCATATGCTTTGAGGTAGATATAAAATCAGCGATATATAAATAAATTGTGATGCTGACAAATGGTTGTTCCATTAAGGTCACTGCTACACTTAAAGGGCATTCATTAGCATTTCAGTTTCTAATGGCATTGGAAGGTTGCAGCTTTAAAACAAGGACATCAAGTTGGCATGTGAATTTTACAATTTACCTAACTTAACCTTACTTAAAAGAGTAGCTCATCCAAATATGAAAACTCAATCATTATTTCCTCAATTCATTGTTTTCCATGCATTTACAACAACTGAAACATTTTGTTGTGTACCAACAGATAATCCGTGAGCACAGATGGCAAGGACATTCTGCACCAGCCAACCAACTGCCACTGAGATGAATGAAAATGCAAATGGCTAACAGGTAGCTTCTTCAGGTATTTTTGACCCTTTTGCCCCGTACTAAATGATACCTCAATTTAGGCTAAGGGCCAGATTTACTAAGAGCTTGTGCCAGCGCAAATTAGCGCTAAAAAAGGCATGGACACAGTTAATTTTGCGCCTGACCTTATTGAATATGCATTTGTAGGAGTTTCCCTTTCAGACGCAAAATTTATGAGAGGAGAGTATTAAAATGAATCACGCAATGCGATTTACTAACGTTTGTGCTCGTCAAATGACTGGTATTTATGCCATTAGTTAATGCTCCAAAAAAGCATGTCTTTATGCTAATTTGCGCTGCTCTTGGTAGATTGTGTTCATCATTATGGAAATGATCTGGCTGCGTCTGTGTTCTTTAATTTGTGCATTGTCAGTAAATCACCTGCAGAAATTTCCACTCCCATTAGCACTTTTTTGGAATTGCGCTCTCACGCTAATTTGCCCTGTTTAGTAAGGTCCTATATCTGCAACCCTGTTACCCATTCTGATATTTGCCTTATATTTATTTCTATTAAAAAAATGTGTGTGTGTGTGTGTGTGTATATGTAAGCAATAAGGTACGAGAGGCCATGCTGTATCGTGAATAAATCACGGCTGAAGGGCGTTGTTAGGCACGACACGATGGTCTCCAGTACCTTATTGCTTTTATAAAACGGTTACCACACAATAAAAAATATTAAAACCAAAAAATGTATGTGTTGAAATGTTACTTTTTTGAAGCAAGTTCGTTAAATGCTGTCCTTCCGCTAAAAAAATAGTTCCTGACAGCAAGAGTAAACGGCAAGAGAATGTTCTGAACATGCCTCATCTAAAGGAGCTAAAATAAAAACAGAGAAAAGGAGCTCTTATCATCCGCTGTGTCATTCTCACACACATACATCTGCTTATCTCTCAGCATGAGAAAACATCTGTTTTCCGTTATATATATATAATTATAATTTATTTTCTATATTAAATAATATATTATTTATGTATAAATAATAGCTTTTATTATATTATATCATATTTTTTGTTAGATATAACAAATATAAACATTTTAAATTGCTCAAATTGTGAGATTTTTGATTTGAGAAAAAAGTGGACATGGAAGCAAAGTTGTTCAAATATCCATGATACCACTAAGGTCTTCGGCTATTTCTATTTATGAATTTCATGCCCTCTGATTTCAGATGAGCTGGCTCTCTTTTTTGTCTTTTGAAGGCATTTGTCTGTATTGAAGTAAGTTAGCCTGAAAACGTATTAGGAATTTCCCTTACCTTATCCCTAGCTAGCATGGTACTGTGGTATTTATTCAAACTACACTAATGAAAGGCTATCCATAGTTTTACTTGTGGTTTCTAACTATATACTTGCTGTACACTTAAATTATGGTTGCTAAAAATAACTAGGTCCTTTTTCATAAGGAGACTGTAGAGACTGCAGTAAAGCATGTGGACACTAGGGAAGCTAATAAGCTAACAGGGGGTGTCTATAAGAATATTATGTATTAGTGATTCTGTTTGAGTCGTGACGTTTAGAGAACGAAGACCTGAAACTGACAACCACTACTTGTTGGCTAGACAAAAGTCTTTCTGTTTGATCCAGAGCTTCCATTGCTGAGTTTAGATGTTTTTATTTTCTTTTGGTTTACTTCATCTGTTCATAAGAGATGAGTTGTATCTGGCAGCGCTCACATTCAATTTAGGTCAATTCACTGACCTACTTTATACTGTACCATGATAATTACACATGGCAGTCTTAAGGAGACCAGCGTTTCCAGATCATGAAGGGAGCTTTGTGTCTGTTTGTGTGGTGTCACACGTTCTTGATCTGGTGTGAAATTAATGTTTCTTTTAAAACATCCTCTTTAAATGTATAGCCATGGATAAAGCGGTGCATGCCAGCTTTGGTTTACGTAATGCAAGAGAAGTAGGATGGTGTAGGGGAAGGGATGTGAGTTATCTGACTGCACTAATTTTCTGACAGAGAGTATTTTGGAGGATGGACACACGACCACAGGCAACAATTTAAACTTGTTACGCCTTAATTTTACATTCAACCCACAGTCTGTCATATTCGTGTATGGCTGTTGACTGTTCTCAGCTGACAGAGAAATCATTCTCATGCCATATTTTTTATTTTTATGACAGCAGTGATGAAGAAACACAGTATGAGGAACTTTCCAAGAATAGCATCCCATTCCAATTTTGCAATTTAAGATTTTACCTCAGTAGTCGAGTAGTTGAGAGTATCCAACAATCAAATATGTCATAGTGTTATAATTTTGGCCTAATCTGTTAAATTGCAAAAAGAAAAGAAAAAAAAGAAAAATAAACACACACACACACACACACACAGGTTTGTTTTTGAGAAAAGTGGGGACATCCCATAGGCGTAATGGTTTTTCTACTGTACAGACCGTATATTCTATTGCCCTACACCAACCCTACCCCTAAACCTACCCCTCACAGGAAACTTTGTGCTATTTCAGATTTTCAATACACTCCATTCTGTGTGATTTATAAGCGTTTTGAAAAGTGGGGACATGGGGTAATGTCCTGAAAAGTCACCTTCTCCTTGTAATACCTATGTCATACCTTTGTCATTATACAAATTTATGTCCTCATTTGTCACAAAAACGCGCACACACACACACACACACACATATATATATTTATATATATAATTAAAAAAATTATTTTACTTTTTTATTTGATTTACTTTAAAAAAATATTGTATTTTTAGTTAATATTGTTGCTAAAAAATTATTTTAAAAAATTGAGTTTTAAGACATAAAATTATATATAAAAAATGGCATACCTCAAGTAAAATAAATAGAAAATAAAACATGTAATATTTAGTTTCAATGCCTATTTTGCACTCTATTTGTGGAAAGTGCCATTACAAATGTGCAGCCAATTCATTGTTGAAGAGACTTTTAAATGGCAAATGTTTATTCAAACACTGATACAGCACAGTTTTTCTTCATCTACCCTGTTACTGGAGTAAAACAAAACCATGTAACAATAGAAACAAACTGTATTCTCAGAGGTGACGTACATAAATAACAAAGTTTGACATTATTTTTCTGAATCAGGTCGCCGCAACATTAACACGTAACATCACTGTAACAGGTTCGACTGGATTTATTCCTATCCAAACTGAGCCGCACATTACTGTGTCGATGACAGTTACACAGAGTGCTACAGAGTAAAACGTTTCCTCAGATAACACACACACTGCTACCAGCATGCTTAATGCATTTCTAAAATCATTAGCGCACATTAACGGGTATCCAAACAATCTCTTGACATGTTAGAGATAACATACAATGTATTCTGGTGTGACATTATCTATAAAGATTGTCAACAAGTCATTTATATTCTGTATAAATAATCACATACGCAGCTGCTACAACAAATGCATAATTTACAAAAAGGAAACCAAAAATAAATGTGAAATATCAAACTACCATGCACTGGCTACAGCTGTGCTGAAAGAGTTTGTGGTTTATAAGAATACAGACTTCTATAGAAATGTTTCAAAACAGAATCTTCCCTTTAAAATACCCTTTGGCACATTAATTTACAGTTTATAAAAAGTTACACAGTAAATTAACATGGAATTAACTGCTGTAGTTTTTAACAGCTAAGATGATACTAGATTTAATGAGCCACTTCTTGCTCATTACAAATCACTTCGTGAACAGTAAAGCCATTTTAATTTTATTTATTTATTTTTATTGATTGTGTGTGTGTGTGTGTGTGTGTGGCTACACAAGTGTATATAAAACATTTAATATGACTGTTTGTCCTAAAAAGCTGGAGCTCACAGTGGTATAACCACAGTTAGAAAACATGGAATATCGTTTTGCTACTAATGCAGCTAACCTTAGAATAACTGAAAATCAGAATTATCTGTAGGAAACCAGTTAATTCATTTTGTTTGCAAATATACATTTGAGAAAAGAGTGGAAGATAGACATTAGGTGCAATAATAATGTTTTTTTTTTCCTTTACAATAATAGTCTTAAATGGAAGTAATAAATCTCATTAGTATTCGTTGGTATTTGTACGTAAAGCGTAGTTCTTTTTTATTTTTCTCTTTTGGATAGACACTGATACATACTATATCATTGTATTTCTAAACACAAACCCTTTTATGTGTCTATTAAAATGTACATGAATGTACATTTTACGTACAAATTCCTACAGATACAGCACATACAGTATGTAAAGTATTTGTATTGCAAGTAGTAAACGTGAAGTGCATGTTGTTTTATGACTATCATTTGCTACAGAGAATATTCTATAAGCACTTATGGTCATAAGAAATTTTAAATGACAGTTTTCAGAGGAGTGCACTGCACATTTTTTTTTCTATTTTCTTAACTTGTTTTTACATAACGTTCTCAGAATTGGGCAGCACCAAGTTTAAAATTTATTTACAGAATACAAAAATAAGGGTTTTAGCTAGCATAGTTATTAGTGTATGAATAAGTGAAAGTATGACTATATGGAAAATCTGAGATGTTAAATACTTAAATACAGTGTTGCAGTTCAATCTTGGCACAGTCACAGTTCCAGCTTCACAGTGTTTCATTAAAGGTAAGACCATTTCCATGTGATATACTGTCATATGTTTACAATGTCATTATCACTAAAGTAAACAGAATTACGACCAAAACCTGGATTTTGTGCTTTTCTTACTTGTCATATAATTTTAAGTCAGTGAATCATCTCATACATAACGAGTGATGCCATTGGATATGTGTAAAACATAGCATATGTGTCTATGAAACACCCAACCTCTTCTGGTTTCTTCATTTTTTTTGTTTTTGTAGAGATCATTACTGACTACTCTTTGAAAATTGGGGTGGTGGATGTTCCCTTGTAAAAAATTGTCCTGGTATTGTCTGGACTGTTTCCTCTTTCAGGGATGAGGATCCTGGTTTTTCTGCACAAGCTCGAATCGCAACTCTCAGGACCAGATTCAGTCATTTCCATGGGAGTGACCTGGATGGTGGAAATGGTCTGGTTGGGATGTTGGTCACCACCTGCTGTATTTACAGTCGGGACAGTTGGCACTGCAACGACTTTAGGAGCATTATAGCCGTTCTTCTTTCTGTCCGTAGAACTGTTCCCATCCCTCACGGATTCTGAGCTCTCTGAGTCCCGATTCAAGTCGTTGAGCTCAAATGAATGTCTAAAGCTGCTTTGGGACTTCCACGTCCAGAAGCCACTTCCATCTGTGGAGTGTGCATGCATCAGGGGTCTGCCGTTCTCTGGATGGGCTTCCACCCGAATGATGGCTCCAGTGCTGCCTTGACCTCCAGACTCCTCAGTTAGGCTCTTGTAGCGCTGCAGTGGTGCTGTGGAGCTGGTGTGGCTGCTGCTCTCAGAACTGGGAGAGCTTCCCTGCAGAAGACCTTGCTGCTTGGACATCGCAATGACCTGCATGATGCGTGGCTGGCCATTAGAGTTAGTCCTAACCACTGGTACCTCCCCACCCTTCTCCGCAGTCCTCTCCATGCTTTTAAGCCATTTGTCACGGATGTTACTGCTATTTGGCAAGCCACCCATGTTCTCCTGTGTCTCCTCTGGGATGTGCACCAACTGCGAGGAACCAGGTCGAGACTGGATGGGTATGCGAGCACCGCCAGCAATTCCGCTGGGGTTGCTTGGTAGTGTTGTACTTCCAGTGGCCATTTTTAGGTAAGGGGTTCCAGGTCCCTTATGTTCACCGTTGATTCCCACAGCTGAGGGTTCAGAATTACAGCGGATGTCCATGCTGTTTGGAGGGGACAGTCCTGGTCCGCCTTCCATGGCATGCAGGGAGTGTTTATGGTTCTCGTTCTTACTCTTCCATTGCATCAGCAGCTGCTTCGATCGACTCGAATCTATCGAGGAGGTGTGGATGGTGGCGTTGCGGAAGGCAGATTCATCCATGGCAGGCGTATGCACTCTGGGCAAGGTATTGAAGGTCACCATGTTCTCCTTGTGTGGAGGACTGCAGGTGATGACCTCCACATCTCCACTTGGTCTTTTCAAGCTACTAAGAGATCCGGCCTGGTGGTATTTGGTGTTGCGGTGCAGTATGCCCTCGGAGCATGAAGATGAGAGGCCATCACTGCCACTGCAGCTCTTGGCAGGTAGGTGGTGACCTTGCTGGCAAAGGTCAGCCATAGTTCGATGAGAATCCCGAACGTGAAGCTGACTTGTCTGTTTCTGCTTGCTCGGTTGGAAGTTTCCTACAGCAAACAAACCCTGGGCGGACAAAACACAATATTTCATTGGTATTTCCTAACATACTTAATAATAAGTTTTGGTAACACAGTTTACTTGACATGTTCCTGGATCAACATTCTTTTTGGTCCTGGAACAACTTTTCTCTCAACTAGTCCGATTTTAGGGTTAGGCTTAGGGCTTGAGTTTGGACCATGAAAAATGCCTGATTCCTTCTGGTTTTAGAGGACTGTTAGAGCTTGGCGTACAATTATTTGATGGGAATGTTACTCCAGAACCAACAAAGATCTGATCCAGGAACATGTCCTATTTGGCTAAATCATAGAGCCCATGTTTCATGTTGTAGACATGCAAGTAAACTGCATTTCCAAGACCCTTTGTATCATGAAATTGCTTTAAAATGCTATTAAATATATCATAAACTGCTTATATTCATCTCACTAGGTAAACAGCGATGCCTCCTCCAAGCAGGAAGCCCAGGTAAACGTCAATAGCATGGTTCTTGTGCTGAATAATGCGGGTTAGGCCACATATGATGGCACAGATGATGAAGGAGAACACCAGAAGAGGCTTTAGCAGTTTGGATGAGTCTGTCAGTGTGCTGTTGAAATACATCTGCACAAGAAAAAGATTATCAAGATCACAGATATGCTGTGATGTTTCCAAGCTGAAGCCAAATCAGGTAGAGAGCCAGAACCATAACATTTGCAATGAGAAAAATTCATACACACTTTGATAATTAGAATAATCTTCAAACACTTAAGAAGAAAGGAATTAACCACAGGGAACATGATTCAGCTGATTTGAGTGTATCATAGAGCACATTATCGCTACACCACTGAAGCACATTTAAATGATTTGTGTATTTTGTGACTTGGTAGACCCCAGAGTTATGAGATGGTTGGTACAGTTCCCAGAGACATAAGTCAGCATCTCACTGACTCAAGATTATTAGACTGACTGTACATAAGATGACAATGTGTAAGGTCATTTCAACAGCTTAAACTGGGTTCTTTTATCAGGGAAATTCATAAGCGCTTTAAGCAAAAGCACATTGAGTATATCAGCTCATTATAAATAACAGATTCTTTGCTTTACATGATGAATCTACTGACCTTGAGCTTGAGAATGCTATGTAGATTGATAACCACACTTTAAAATCAAGTTTTTCTCTGGTTTTATTGAACACACATTGAATAACCTGCCAGAACACCACCACTTGTTTACACTCTACACATTTTTAGCTCTTTATGTATAAGTGCCATAAGATTGTGCATGTAAACACACTCTTTGATGTCTAGAATAGACAATTTATAATTTTTATGCAAATGTAAGTGACTTTACCGGCATTCTGTCAGCTTACATAATGTGCACATAGTTTGTGTTGATGTCAAGAGCAGAGAAAAATGTAAAGACGCAAATTGTTGTATTCCTACCAACCCTTGAATGGGCAATTACATTCAAACACATTAAAACACACACACACACACACACGGCTCAAAGGGGCCAACACTCCATTTCGCTACATTGACAAGCTCCACTAAACTGCATGATGTTGTTGCTGCACAAATTACAGTGGAGAGCTGTTGTCCTTTTATCTACACATCAGGGTCAGTTTTGCACAGAAAGTGACATGAGTGCAGCTCCATTTTTATCTGTCTCTAACAGCACAGTGAATTGAAAGACTTTTACTCACCGAGACATACACGGCTGCAAAGGATGCCAGCGTTGCATGCTGTGATGGGAAGGATTTTCTGAAATAAATGAAAACAATTCTGATCAACTCTGTCATTAAAGGAGAGAAAGAATACAGCAGACACATTTGAAATACATCCAAGTCCACACCTCTCTTCATTGGCTGTAGATCATCGCCGATGTAGTTTTCAGTCAGAAATCATTGGATCATTGCACACTGTGTGATTGTGAATCTGATGCATATGCTATACTGAGTTTATTAGCGGTTTTTAGTGCGTTGCCATGCGTTTTTTTTGGTTTTTTGCATTGCTGTATGGTTGCTAGGGTCGCTATTGGGTTGTTAGGAGTGTTTCTTAGTGCGTTGCTATGTGGTTGCTATAGGGTGTTAGGGGTGGTTTTTAGTGTGTTGCTGTGCAGTACCTATAGGGTGTCAGGTGGTGGGTTCTAGTGCGTTGCTATGCGGTTGCTGTAATATATTGGGGCTGGTGTCCAGTGTGTTGCAATGTGGTTGCTATAGGCTATCAGTGGTGGTTTTTAGTGCATTGCTGTGCAGTTGCTATAGGGTGTTATGCCGAGTTCACACTGCACGATTTTCAAACTCGTTGGATCACCATTGTTTTCACACTGCGTGACTATCTGGGGTAGCATTCAGTCGCTGCTGTGTTCACATTGCACGATGGATTGGCGACAGGAGGTTACACACTGCATGACTTTACAATAGGAAGAATCGCCGACAGCTCTGTCTGGTCCGCAAACTACGTTTCACAACAAAACACACGCGAGAAGTGATAAGGAAATAACGCAAGAACCCG